GAGCGAGAGAGGGAAATGGTCTCGAGTGAAGGGCATAATTTCTCGTCTCGTTTGGCGGCGTGGAGGACGGAGAAAGTTGCCGGGGAAATATTTGATTTGTTGTCATGGAAACTCTCTCTGGCAATCTGCTGTCAACTAAAGTTACAGTCTCTCTCTCTCTCTCTCTCTCTCTCTCTCTCTCTCTCTCTCTCCCTCTCCTTCTTTCCTCTCTCTCGCTCTTTTTCCCTATTTCTCTCTTTCCTATTCTCTCCATCTCTTTCCTCTTTCTTTCTCTCTTCTGTTTCCTCTTTTTCTACTCTCTGTCTCTCTCACTCTTTTTTCTCTTTCCTCCCTGTCTCTCTCATCCTCTCTGCTCGCTGCCATTTACCCTGTGTGTCAGCGTTTTCCTCCACACTGACTCAGAATAAAATCCTGTTACATTATTTTACGCTGAAAGCTCTGAGGTTTTCCTTTGAAGTTAGGTTATTTTGGAGATGTGAGGTTTTGTTCGGAGAGCCGCCCTTTGTTCTTCACAGTAAGGTGAAAGGTGACAAACAAACTGCTCGTTTTTTCCCCCACAGTTCGAGAAAACTGCAAAAACCAGACGAACAACAGTGAAAACTGTGCAGGTGAAAAACGAATGAGTGGCAACCCAAGACTTCATGCAAATTAGCTGCGCGGCGACCAGTCAGATTAAAATGTGGAGCCGTACCTGATCGCATCTCACCTGCTTATTCTTATCGATATAATCATGGAGATGCATTCAGTGTTTAAACCGTGGGTCAGCAGGACAAACTGCGTACACACCTACGCCTGCTGGTCTTTCAGACACGCCCCCAGATGGCCATCAGGTGTAATACAGCATCAGTGTAAACAGTGCACTCAGATCTGAATGAAACCAGTGCTGCGTTCACGTTTCAGTTGACAAAAACGTTACTCTGCACCGCAAAGCGCCGACATGAAGTCACGCAAACGTTGCCATGGTGACGCCGCAAACATATGACGATCAGAGGAGAGCTTTATCAGAGTACAGTGTTTATGTAAGGTGGAGAAAGACAGGGGGCGCTCTGCACTCTTGTTTGTTGTGTAGTACTGAGTTTGTCTGGAATTCGTCAGTGAGACGTTTGGCGTCCCGAAAAATCAACAGCCGGTTTATTCCACCGCTGCGGTCGTCGGCGTGGCGGAACCCGTGGCTGATCGTTCTGCTCTTTGCTGTGGTCTGCGGACCGGTGCCGCTTAAGGTGGCAGAACTTTCCGTCACAGTTCCGTTAATAATCCGAAAATAATGGAAGATCCAGTTTGGCGTCGAACGTCCACTGCAAAGGTGAATACAGCATTAAAATAGAAAAACTAAGTTAAAGGAACGCCCCCTCAAAGCTGCAGTGAAGTGAAGTGTCGTTACTGAGTGAGGAGAATATCAACACACTAAAATATGGTGGGTCACCAGAGAGGGCCCAAATCCCCAAAACTTACACAGTGCAGCTTTAAAACAAGCACACAGGGTCTTTATTACAATCAGACTTATCATTCACTGACGGAAACATCGTGTTTATTAAACGTAGAAAAATCGCGTCCTTTTAACAGTCAATTTCCCTGAACTTTAAATGTAATCCAACTAAAAAAAAGCAACAAAAAGTAAAAAAAAAGATGAATAAATAAATAACATAAAATATATAAGTATATATATATACATTTAAATAAACAGTGAAAAAATCCTAAAGAAATCAAAATAAATGTAAAAAATAGGTATATAAACAAATAATATATAAATATGTACCTTTAAATAAAGAATAGAAAAATGATAAATGAAAATAAATGAAAATAAATGAAATAAAATAAATAAAATCTTTAAAAAAGCTTTGGGCTTTTGTGGGGGGTGCTGTAAAGGAAAGAGTAGCGCTGGATTTAGAACACAGGACCAAACGAGAGCCTCGCTGTGAAACTGAATGCAGCACAATAACGTTTTATCTCGATTATCGTGTTTTCTTAATCGTTGGAAATCGAAATCGTAACCGAAAATACAATTCAATCACTCGCGCAGCCCTAATGTGGGAGAAGCACAGCGTCGCCAGTAGAGCGCCGCCCCCTGGAACGGTGTTAAGTGTCCAGCTGAAGATCCCAGCCTGGTGTACACGGTCAGCCCCGCCACACCTGTCCTGTCACCAGTCTGTTGACCATCCTCTTTATGTTTATGCATCAATTTATTCAGATCTTTTATTTAATTCTATTGTTTTTAGCAGTTGCAGCTAAACAGTCCTGAACCCCCCCCCTCCCCCCCTGCCCCCCCCCCGTGTTCCCGCTCCTTCTGCTCGTTATAAGATTGGAAACTCAATCAAAACTGCATTAGCGGATGCTCTAACGACGCCGCAGCCTCCGGCAGGATTTGATTGTGCGGTAATTGAAGGAAAGGGCAGCAGCGCGTCTGAACATCTCAGACCCCGGATCACGCTCGGACACGGACCCTCGCGCTGCAGCAGCACCGCATACACACACACCTGCACACGGGAACCTGCAGGGATCGGCTGGGGGGGGCGTTCCCACTCGCGTGTAAACAGATGATGATACACTCTTAAAAAGATGGTTCTTCGAGGGTTCTTTAGTGAAGACGATGGTTCTGTATAGAACCATGAACACTGCATGCTGAAAGGGTTCACTGCAAAAAATGGTGTCTTGTCAAGTAAATTCATCTTAAATATAGTCAATAAATCTAATATCTCTCCTGCTGAGATTGTTGTGAACCTAATTTAAGATGATTCACCTCATTTCTAGACGTTTCTACTGGTTTAAGTGATTTTATTAAGTTGAATGATCTCAGATCATTTAGCTTGTAGGAAATTAGCTTGACACCAGCAACATTATCCTGCGGGACAGTGAGATCATTTTACTGAATAAAATGACTTTAATCTAAGTTTGTTTATGATTAGAAATAAGCTAGATAATCCTGTAATAAATGCACAACCATCTCAACATGGGGATTTTAGACAGACTAGATTTAAGATCATTTCACTTGACAAGATGCCCATTTTTGCTGGGTTCTCTGCATGGCGAAACGGTTCTTCAGATTGATGCAGAATGTATGTAGCACCAAAAACGGTTCTGCTGTTATGATGTCAAGCTTGTAACAATAACAGAACCTTTTTGGTGCTACATAGAACCATACAGAGCACATTCTCCATCAATTTACGAGTGAATTTATGAAGTTCTCTAGTAATGAAAAGCTGCCTAATGTTGTAGGTTTTGAAAAACTTTGACTCTCTGGTTCTCATATCACCACAAACACTTCAGAGCCCTCGTGAGGAAAAGTTTAGGCACCCCTCCTATTTTGTTTTTACAGTCTACATGAGTGAAGTTGGGTCAAAGGTTATTCATACAGAGCTTTTTACAGCAGACGTTGTCACAAAGCAGCTTTACAGAAAAATCCAGGCCCATGAGCGTCGCCAAGGAAAGCTCCCTAAGAGTAAGAAGAGAAAAACACAGAGAGGAACCAAAACTCAAAAGGGGAACACAAGAGCAAAATGAGCAGAGAACGTTTTACCATTAATATAAAATATTAAAATAAGTAAAATGGGTGGAGCTGCCTGTGATTGGACAGAAGTGTTTAGATTAGGCAGTGCTGACTGATGACTGTTACCAGAGAAACACTGAGAAACAGATCAGTGAGAATCAGGAGAGAGAAACGTTGGTGGTGTTTTGTATTTTGTGTGTTTAAAAGTGTCGTCCAATCACAGTGAAGACATAACGTTCTGTTTATCGGGACTGCAGTAAACGTGATCAGGTGCATCCTGATAAAATACAGTTTAAGAGCTGCAGGTTTGAACGTTAGCAGCTACACCGCTAATGTATACCATAAACAAGCAGCAGGGGGCGCCAGAGGAAACAGTTAATTAACAGTAGTATAATAAATTTGTGTTTTTCTCAATGATGTAAAATCTGTAGAATTAGTCTTATTTCTTAACAATACTACCTTTGTTACTCTATTTATTCTTATTTACAGTATTTTGCCATAATAATAACAGCAACAACCATTCAAATAAATGCAAATATCTGTAAAATAACGGTGATCATTAGTTTTTGTGAATTTACATTCTATTTCTGTTATTCTACAACAGCAATACTGTTACAAAATACAGTATATTTGTAGAGTATATCATGTTATTTACATGAATTTATTATCATTTTGTTTACAGTGTTATGGATTCTGATTGTGCAACCAACTACAGATGGGCTACAAATGAAAAATACTGTAATCAGCAAACAAATAATACAATATACAATTATGATTGATCATTTTGATAATGCACATTATTTCTATGATTAGTTACCCTATTAACTATTACTGGATTAATTGACTAATCTAACTAGAGCCCCCTACACTTCCTGTAGTGTATTACATACAGTACATGGGCTCATTTGGTACGTGGTGGATTTGCTCGTATGAGTAAATGGAGATGTTCAAACAGAGCTGCGTGGTGTCAGGATGGACGAGTGGTCAGGAAATCGAAACTGAGTTGTGTTATGTGCCGTTAGAAAAACACTGAGGCTAAAAAACTCTTCATTCTGCTCTGGAGCTGTGCAGGTCGGCAGGGTCCTGCAGGACCGCGCGGTCACTGTCAGTGGAAAATAACACTTTTGTTTAGTGATTATAGCCACAGGTGAGCAGGTTTATGGTTGCCTAGCAACAGTGTCCTCTCAGCGCAGCCCCGTAAACACTCAGGCCGCGCCCTATGGCTGCTCGAATCGCGTCTGCCAGATGTTCCTCCACCACGGAGGACGGGAGGCTGAAGCTTCTGGTGGGAGTTTAGGTTCTAAAGGAGGTTAAAGCTGCTCAAGGTCAGATACACTTCCATGGTGTTTGAGGGCCTGTGTTTCACATGCATAATATTAATAACAATATTAATAACAATAAGGGAACAGCCGCCGCCGGCTGCAGGCTGAGGCTTAGCTTGATGGTGTTTACATTCGGCCTTAGATCTGAATTTAAACTGCTGATAATGTCTGCAAATCTAACTGTGTGTTTTCAG